TTGCACAAATGTGTTTGAATGAAGCTCAGGTTCAGTGTGCTATGGCTAAGTCAGAAATTATGGCCAAGGATGTATCTTGCATGGGGCAACGCGTGCCTCTTGCAAATAAACACCTTGGCATACTGCTTAACTCGTGGTTCCATCATGCTGCAGGTGCAACATGCCTGTAGGACATAAACGCCTAGGGACAGAGCAGTGTATGCTCAGTTGGAGACTATGTTGTTTATGCCAGTTTGCGTGTTCAGAGCAACTGCCACATAAAATACGTCTTTTCAGAGAGCAGGTGCAAATTGGGCTCTAAAGTCAAGACTTACTGGATTGTGCTGCTGTCAAGGAATAGATTGCAGTTGTCAAACTGGCTACTGAAGCTTGATGACATGGGAAGCCTTGGCAGATGGAGACACCATAGTTCCCTCGTGTTGCGTGAATGGCCGTACGATGTCAGCAGCACATGAAGACTTAGGGACAGCCTAAGGAATCCCTGTGTAAAGACACCTGGACACTTTGCACAAATGTGTTTGAATGAAGCTCAGGTTCAGTGTGCTATGGCTAAGTCAGAAATTATGGCCAAGGATGTATCTTGCATGGGGCAACGCGTGCCTCTTGCAAATAAACACCTTGGCATACTGCTTAACTCGTGGTTCCATCATGCTGCAGGTGCAACATGCCTGTAGGACATAAACGCCTAGGGACAGTGTAGTGTATGGTCAGTCGGAGGCTATGTTGTTTATGCAAGTTTACGCCTAGGGACAGTATTTTCTTTCAGACATCGTTAGCTCGTTTGGGAAACAGATTGAAAACACAGTTACCAGCAATGCACAGTTTCCTTTGCGGCCAAATGTTGAGCCCCGTTTGGCTGCTGATCTGCTATATTCCATTGCCGATGGGATCGTGAACTGGGGAGAGCATGTTCGTCATCGACGAACTTTGTAGCCGAAGAGTTTGGCAGTTCAACAAAAAGCGGAAGACAGCTCGTAGCTTAGGCCTCAGAAAACTCCTGTACTGTAGCTATTTGTAAGTAGCTCTTGACCAAAAAATATTCCTGCTGATCTGCTTCAGGAGCTCAACTTTCTTTATATACACCGCAAGCTCAGGACAACTGTTGAAGGTCAACCCAAAGACCTTCAGATTGTGTTGAGCCAAAGGCCTTCTACATAATATGCTCCAGACGCAGAACATCAGGATGTGTGCTGAGTGATTGGTTGGTCTTGCAAGTCCACTTGTACCTAGAACATCCTAGAACTAAACCTACCTGGACCTTGGGACCGGGTGTGTGATAGAGATTTACAAGTCTATTGGTGACCCTTTGGAAGCCATGCTGAACTCCAAAACAACCAAAGGAACGTATTGGTGAACTGCCACCAACACCTCTGTGCAGCCCGCCACTCTCAGCCCGGGCATCCACTTGACCTCCAGACTTCTTAAGGGCGAGGCTGTTTGAAGCAAAAGATCAGAGGTTTTTCCCGTTGACTGGGCCAGGATGAGGATGCCCGACCGATCCACGATCGATCAGGTCAACACATGAAGCAAAGCTTCCGGAAGTTCATGCGTCGATTGGATGAGGACTCCACCCTTGGAAGTTCTCCCGTGCCTTTGGCCAAACGGAAAACCGGACCGGGGGACCCCGATCTGGGTCGGTGACATCGATGGTTGCAAACGAACAATGGCAAGCAAATGGCGACAACGGTTGATACTTCTTTGCCAGTCTCCATCCATCCATCCATCCATCCATCCATCCATTTATCTATATTCGGTGCCTTTGTATAACGAACAGTTTGTCACACCTGAAAAATTGTGGACACCTCGGGTCCTTCGCCTCGACTTAGAGGTCCAAGTCGCCTCAGGAGTTCTATGTTGATCGGATGTAGGGAGTTCATGATCGTCATGGCACCCTCACATGTCATACCCAGATCATGGTGTTTCTTTATTATCAGAATGAAAAAAAAGCAGCAAGCAAGCAGCCCGTATCAGCCCAACAGATGTGAACTGATCCTGAAACCTATACTATTATTTAAAGGTTGTTTGATGCATGTTCAGTTTTCCCACCCCCCCAAACAAATATTCGACATACTGGCCATGTGATCAACCCACCCTCCTTTCTACAACCACCAGTCAGTCCAAAAGCGACTTCACCACCGTGCCACGTGGCGCCACCTCGGCGGTGCCCACTTCTCCGCCCCCCCAACTTCAGGTCCGCTCGTCAGGCCGCGTCAGGCCTCGTCCGAGACGAAAACGACGACCCACGCGACCGAGCGGCCCCAGGTTTCGTTGTCCCCAGGCTTCCCAACTCCGGGAAGTGAGGACGGTCGAACGCGCGCGGTAGGGGTGGGCGGTAGGGGTGGGCGAAGGCTTAGCCACCGCGGTTCGGTGGAAGGCCCTGTGGGCGGTGAAAGCTGCGGGTACGGCGGGCGTGGAATGAGAAGCCTGAATCGAGATGAAATCTATAGGACGTTTTTTTCTTTTGTGGGTGTAGTTATAGTTGTCAAATCATGTCAAACATTATATGGGACATCAATTCACTGAAAGGGTTTGTAAAGGAAGATGACAGGCAATACAGAATCCACTTCTGAAGAAAACAGCATCCAACTGGGGGGGTGGCAAATCGGATCGACCCATTAATACTAGCGGCCTGGGATGAATCATGATTCGTGATGATCAGCTGCAAGAAAGTGGTTGGTTGAGTTGAGGACTGATACAAGGAATTGTTGGTGCATGTTGGTGCGTGGATGGGTTATGGTGGGTTGGTTGGCTGATTGGTTTGGGTTGAAACATGTTGAAACACACGGCTTTGATGAAAGACGCCAATCAGTAGGCAATACTTCAACGTCTCAACTTCGGAAGTTGTTGTGATCTTTAGTTCCTGCGTGAAGTCACGACTCATTCCATCAGTTTCCATTATGTTTGGACGACGTTAAGGCCGGCCAGCACAGCACTCTGACTCGGCGTGACCAGCCGCTAATGACTTAAATGACTGCTATGACGTACAAAGCTCTCATGATTGCCTTAGTGCTGCGCCGTTCGCCGCAGTTTGCTCAAGCGCCATGCTCGTGCCCCGCACCTTCACCCGCCACGTGCCCCGTGCCCCGTGGGCACCTCGTGCGGGACGACCGTGGCGTGGAGTGGGCGCGCGTGGCATGGCGATGCGAAGAGGGGACTGGCGCCGGCGACTCAGCACGTGTCGGGGGTGCGGAAGTGGATGATGTAGCTCCTTTTAAGATCCTTGTTGTATATTTACCATGGGGAATTATTGGAGGGCTTCCAAAAGATTCATGCTTTTTTGCCACTCCAACCAAAGGCTTGCTTGATGTTGCTGGTCCGTTTGCCGTGAGTGGCATCGAATCTACGAAAAGCTCGCCTGTTTGGAGAGAAGCCTATGTCGTGCTGTTTCGTCCCGCTCTTGGGATTTCCAAGTGTTGTCCAGTTTCTGCCGAATCAGCGGAGCCACCGGTGACACTAGTGGATCAACCAGCAGATTAGAACTGTTGAATTGTTAGTAAGGGAACCGTTGCCTGACGATGAAGAACGAGACTAGCACCGAGGTTTTGGTGGTTCGACGCCGCTCACCACTGGGGTCAAGGGTCGAGTTGGGGACCGCCCAGATGTTTGTGGCCTTTGCAACCCAAATAGATGGAAGAGGCGAGCTGGTTGTGATCTAGGCAGCTAGGGGAAAAACAGCTGAGCTCAACATATCATGATACAACGCTCGTGGGATGTTGCTGGGTCGATGTCCTCGCTTCCCGTCGGAAAACAGGAGAGACTTTAGCGATAAGAAACCCAAAGGACGCAGGAGTCACTAAACTTGCATTATTGAAGCAGCATGAAGCAATGCAACACCTTTTGTCATAGTGCTTTTGGGCGCACCTCGCCCATAATCGACCTCGCCTGACAAGAAAGAGCTCTATTTTCTTCGGGGTTCGACATCTCATAGCAGCTCCAGCATCACAACACATCAACTCTTTTGTGCAAGACTGAACATACTCTTCCCATCTCTTCCCCTTATGAAGTCCATTCCCATCCTCAATGCCATTTGAACAATCTTTGGATACATCTGTGTGTAAAACAATTATATAGATAACTAGATGAACAGTGCACGCCAACTCCACTAGTCACTGCAGTTTGAGGTCACAGCGCCGTTGCTGCAGCCATCACGGCTCGTGCACTCACGCAGCGCAGTGGGGGAGCTTGGAACGTGTAGAGTGCAATTGGAACGTCATGGCGAAGAGTACTGCGCGGAAGGGATTGTCAGGTCCACCCTCCAAGAGCGTTGAAACCTGGTTCAGCACCAGGGGATTCCTATCATCGCACAAAAGCAAGTTTACACGTGTGTTCACACTCATAAAGCCCTTTTCCGGCTGAGAAGGCGCCTCTCTTGGCACCTGAGGCCATGTTTTGCTCAGAGCCTCCTCCACTTCAGCCTCCAGCGAGGTGCATGTCCTCGACCATTTTTCTGCTGCAAGCTGGAACGACAGCGGCAAGATTCAGTCTTCCAGTTTCAACATCATTGATGTCAAGTTGAGAGCTGGATGTTTATCTCCCTTTAGTGCTAGGTAGTTTTTTTCTTTTAAGGGGGACAAGCACAAGTCGAAAGTCCATAGCTTGCCCAACACCCAACAAGTGATCTTCAAGTGGATTGCGGAAGATGAGGTCTTCAACATCCTGAAAGGAGGTGGTGTCCTATCCCTAGAGCTCCAACTACCTCCAAGGTGATTGGGTTGGCTTTGTAAGCTGTAGCTACCTTCTATAGGGATGTAGTTGGAGCCCTATGGCAATTGGCAGGGGATGGGCAGCTCAGCCTGCGTGGCGCTGCAAAATGCCGGCTTGGAGGTGGATTCCAGAGAGGGAGTTGGAGGGCAGGGCATAGTGAAATACCATGAAAAAAAACCATGTAAAACCTCACTGAAAGCCATGCGAACACGTGAAGAAATGTCTTTCGTTCTATAGTTGGCCTTGTTTTTTTTACATCGTCCATGGAAGGTTTGGAAAGGTATACGACATACTACATGTCCAAGTTTAAAGAACTTATGTTTGATACCTCTTTATGATTTTGGTGGTAGAGTCACTGACCAAGTTTGCACTTCCAGGTTTGGATGTTGGACCATTCTTCTGCTGTTGACGGCATACGGAGGTGCCGACCGTCCTGATACGGGACTGGATGGCCAGAAAGCCAACAACTATGCAGAGTTTGGTCTGGAATACCCCCCAAATCCACCCGAAAGTTGAAACACTAGAAGTCCCATGGAGTCCCCCAACTGTTTCCTTGTTGGCTATGTCCAGCATGTAACCTTCCTGATAAACATCAACCTTTTGTGGTTGACACCGACATCATCCCTGGTGTATCTCTCAATGTCTCCCGGGCATAGGTCCTTTTCAAGAATCCAGGGGTCCACGACCGACCTGGCCAAACACAGAGCCTCACACCATCCTCTAAGGCCATGACGAACCTAAGCATACCTAAGACAGGGGTGGCGCTGCAAAACTTGCTTTCGTGAGCTGTGGGCTGAAGAGCCTTGGTTCAAGACTTGCAGCAGTGCTGCAAACGCTGCCTGCGGCATTCAATGGCTTTTTCAAGGAGTCGCCAGCGACTGTGGATCTGGATGCTAATGGCAGCAGTGGCCCATCACAAGGTGATTACAGGCCCAAGCAAAGCGAAGATTGCCTTTTTCCAGCTTCCACGTTCAATTTCACGCTGGCCCAAGTCACACTCGACGAATACTGTGCAGAGTGATCCTGCATGTAAGCCGCGAGATATTATAGAAGTACTTGAACGTGGCATGGGCCGCAAAGGCCGCAAGGGCCGCAAGGGCTTCATCGGTCGCATCGTGGACCGAATCAAAAAAGCACTTGGCATGGGCCATATTGTGAAGCTTGAATGGAGGACGGAGCCACTCTACGGTCAGATTCCGATTCGATGGTGTGCGGATTTTTTGCACCTTTTGAGTGTGCAAAAGCTGTGCGCTGAAAGAAAGGATGTTCCTGCTTCACGTGATAGCCTTCATTCTTGCATATATTTGTCAGTAAAAATACATCCATTTAAAGTGAAAGTATTGCGTTGCCAGTTTGGAGCAGATCAGACAGGAGCAGGGTACAACCTGGAGATCGGGTTCCTGGATCAAACAGAACACCCCAAAGGGCAAGTGCAACAACGTTGGAAACTTTCTCATGTTGATATTTGGAGCTGCGTGCCATTTTTACAGAGATGGGAGAGCAAAACCTATATGGCCAATCCATTTATGAAGGCCAACTGCAACCAGTTTGCAAGAGACTTTATGCTTGAACTCGAGGGTCGGACATTCCGGTGCTGGATTCCATGGATGGGCTTCAAGTGGAATCCATGCAAATCTTCCTTGCATCATTAGGGCTTTGCCTCCAACTTGGGCATTGGATATGAAGACACGGCTAGTGACTTCCACGAGACTCGGCTCTCTCGACAGTTGAAAAGCGCGGTACCGGCGGTGCCTGGGGTGTTGCGGAAGTTGGAGCATGTGGTTTCGCTGCAAAGACCCTGAACCCCCAATGCAAGATCCCTGAGGCGGTGGGAAGTTGGAGCAAGTTATTTCAGCCTTGAAACATGCAAGGTCACCAGGAAGGGAAACACTGGGTTGCTTTCATATGTTTTTTGGTATCAAATCCTAGGTCCTAGGTCCGACCTATGCAGCAGAAGCAGTCGAACATGGCGGAAGATTGCGCCTGACGCAGGTGGAGTTGGTGCAGTGTTTGAGCGACAACTACTGCCCGATCTTTCATCACGCGGCCTCCAATGTGACTTTCGTCACAAGCTCAGCCGGGTGAAGGGTGGTTTTGTATGTTTTGTCGGATGCGGACGCGGTCCAAGGGTGGACGAAGTGAAGAAAAGATCGACACAACTTTCAGACTAATTTGAATTTGATGAGATGGGACATGATGGGACCAATGTTCAAAATTTGGCGGGTTTTGCAAATTAGGTCGAGTATGAAATATACGTAATTATGTACATGTTCTGACTTTTGGTTTAAACACATAAGACAAAGAAATCCTTGGACTGCATCCTTGGACTGCAGCGGTTGCGTCGGTGGACATTTCAGGTGATGGACACGCCTGAGGCCAGCGGAGGGGTGAAGACAGATACCGGAGGAACCAGACAAACCGGACTGAAGTCCTATGCCTATTACTGTTGAAGTGATCTGTAAGTGATGTTGATTGAAGTCCTATTACTGTTGGAGTCCTATTTGATCAAGTCCTTGTTTTTTGCTGTTGAAGTGATTTGGATCTGATCGAAGATATATAGTTTGAAGTAGTTATGTTCTGTCGAGGACAATGAAAGAGACCAAAATAGCTTCAATAAGAGAACTGTAAAAGCTGAAAACAGCATGCTGCTGGTTGACTAATGCAACTTCTAGACTTGCAAGATGTTTGAAAAGCGGGTCAGTCTTGTCTTGCCGGAATGAGGCGGACCAAACGCATGGGGGGGGTTCTTAATCCGAGCTGGTCCTACCTGCACATCAAGCTTGAGAGGTGTCAAGTCTGTCCGATTTGAACTGTTGCAGCATGTTCCAAGTGTTTCTCACGTTCTCCAAGTACATGAAATGCTACAGTCCAAGCGAGTCTCCCAAAGAATAGCCTCCAACATGTGATAAATTAATCCATGATAAATCCTACCCAAAGTCGTTCTCCTTGGGCAGGTACCATTTGGTACTACCTCTCTCAGTGAGACGCGTTGATGGTATAAGTATACGAGTCACTCGGTGCACCACATACCTAAGGTGCCATTCAATACCATATAATATGGGCCAGGTTATGGGCCAATACTATATCTCCAACATGGAGACACATCCGTTGCTCCACCGACATTGTCGCACACTCTGAGCAGCGCGGTCGTCGTTGATGAAGGCCTCATCCATCGCAGCTGCATTGAAGAAGAAGGGCTGGACATTGACACACATCCTGAACACGCATTACCACGGCGACCTGGACTGATTCTTGATGCGGGGCAGCGCTAAGAAATGGATATGTTAGTTGAGATGAGAGGCCTCGAGCGACCGAATGCTTTGTTGACTAATGGTCTTGCCTCACAACCAGGACATACCAGGACCATTACTGAACATTCTATAGAGATTATAGAGCCACCAACATGTTGTTTTGGTGAAAAACAGATACCAAAAAGCATGGTTCAGCCGGTTTGAGATGATCCATTTCATTCCGAATGTACTCAACTGGTGTACAGGGTCTGTGGGTCAACGCTTTCGTCAGGAGACTTTTGCCACTCCATACGGTTAGAGATATCTAGCACGCCACGGTTTTCTTTTTGTCTAGCCTTTGTTGCATGGACCACATGTGACCATGTGTTAGACAACTCTTGCAAGTCGTTTGTGGAAAGACCCTCGCTTTGCTTGATCCCTCACCCTCTAGCAGGATGGAACAATATGTTAAGAAACATATGTGGGACCATTACAATCAGCATGCGCCCCGTGAGGGTGCTTCGCTTAAATATAGCACCGCTATAAGTATTTAATGGTAATTGTTGCATGAAACCCCTTCCAGTCTTTTGTTTGAAATCTTAGTTTGATGATCATGTCATGGGAGTTGTGCATGTCCATTTCACAACAAATAAGGATGATCTCGATCCGTCCATCTTTTGTTGGTCCCGGGGGAATCGGTGAAACTTACCCACTTCTCAAGCTGGAAGTCACACCTCGAAGATGGACTGCTCGGGGCATGATGGGCATGTGCATTTCTTCTTCTTTGTCCGTTCGGTTTTTGTTTTACGTACGCTCCCTTACAGCCTGGCTCGACTCAGATGATCATGTGGGTGGGAACATGGACCTCAAGGCGTCGCCGCGAGACGTCGCGCCTCGGACGCGAGACGGATGCTTTGGACACCAGAGACGGACCATACATGGCCGTTTACTATTAGTTGGTTGATTGATAGAGAGGATAACCGTTGGTGTACAACCAATAGGTAAATGGTACCAAACCGACCCATCTATTCTTCCCAAAAGGACACCACTGAGACGGACGAGTTCTTCATTGTTTAAACAGGAAGTTCTTCAGCATCACCCGTGACAGTGACCTATATAGAGGCTGGATTATCTGTTTGGGATTCCGTGACAGTTTTTTACTATATAACCCTTCCCAATAGAAGGACGTAACGGTAAAGCGCGAACGTGGGAATAGCGGATGGTTGTGTAGAAGACTCCTATGAACTGGAGGATCTTCCATTTCTTCAACGGTTTGGATGGTTACTTTCGATCCACTCCCATGCTACAGTTTCACTTTGTTGTATTCAATAGACACAACAAGGGAGTGAAATACCTTTTCAAGGCATGGTCATGATGCATGACATGGTACAAGCTACCCGGCTATCCTCTAGAAACACTCAACAAATGATTCGATCTCTACCGACTCTCCGAGTCTCCTGGGCGGATTCGAAGACCCCAGGAGATTGAGGGACTGTGGGACACCAAAGGGTCCTGCGAAGACCCCTACAAAAGGGATGCTTTGGGATAGAGATGGGTGGGCTCACAACATCAAGATGTTTTCTGACCATGCAACATCAGACCTTCCGTGCAGTTTCCCTACAGTCCTCAGGGTAAAAACCATCCCGTTGAGGTTTTTGGAATCAGGATCCGCGAACAACAAGTGTATGTGGACATAGCTCCACTTCGGCCTCCATCTCTCCCACATTCACTGATATTCCTGCCCCCCGGACTGGTCGCCTGGCAGGCTCAGTTTCCAGGTGTCCAGATCGTAGGGCATCGCAGTTGGACCCTCAGAAGTGAGAAGCACGGCCTCGGAGGGAGCCCCGGGCGGTAAGAGAGGGCGGGCGGTAAGAGTGGGGCAAGTCCCCAAGCACAGTGAGCCCCACCAAAGCATGGGTGGGGTTGACATTTCTGATAGAGATCATAGAGTCATAGAGGATCATAGAGGAATCTGTTGGCACCAGGTGCCCTGAACCGCAGCCATATTCCGCGTTCTTTTGGGTGAGCACAGGACATTCCGGTTGCTTCGTGCTTCGCAACGTGAACGACTCCATGTCGGTCTTGATCCCTGAGAAATCACCACCATGTAGGGTTCGGTAACTTGATAGTACTCCCTGGAACGGACGTGCCATCCGCATTTCTTGTCCCAGGTCCCACTTCCATGGTCCATGATGACTTCATGTGGAACCTTTCAAAATCACTACTGTAGCTGGTGTGCAGGGAGCGATCCGGAGACATTCCAGCCCTGGTGTTCTCCAATCCATTGTGTTAATCTTCAGCATTTGGGAGTTTTTGAAGCTAAAGAATCCGTGGTCCGAAGAAAGGTGTAGACTCTTGATCAATCATGAAGAGGTTGAGCGCATCCAAATGGGGGGTTATTATTCATCGTCCATAGTAGACCTAACCTACATTACAGTCCCTAAGACTCCAAGTACCTTTGTTTTGAAGGTGGGACTGAGGTGGGTGCCAGGAGGGTCCAGTCATACCGAACCTGAGGAGGCACGACTGGAGCCCTAGATACTTGGAGCCCTGTTCCTTTGGTGTTGGTTCCTAGCAGGCCTTTGACCGCCAAAGAGATACCTTTTTTTGGTTGCCACACACACTGGAGTTCTTGGCCCAAATTCAATCTGACCAGTCCCTACCAAAACGTTATGTTGACTTAATACATGCATCGTGGTCTTCCTTCGCTGCTTCCGATGCTTGTTGGGGAATCTCACCTCGTTGGTCGACCGGTTCGGCACCGAAGGCTCCGAAGGCGAGGCGATCCCAGGCGTGGACCTCGAGGCGTCCGACCGGGCGGGGGTACGGGTGGGGTACGAAGCGGGAAAGGTACGAAGGGTGGCGGGTAGAGGTACAAAGCCAAGAAAAGGACTGGTCGTGTGAACTCAGGATATTGCAGGTATGAACCTTGGCCCAAACAAGAAACAACATGAGACAAACAAGTAGAGGTTACTGACTTGACCTGTTTCACTCACTGGATCCAGCACTGTTGCCAGGTGTGCGAGGGCGACGAGGTGCAGTGTGGCGTGGCTGGGCTGCATTGGTTGCATGGGATCTACGGCAATTGGCCGAGGCACAGGCCGCTAGCAGCCGGATGGGAGCTGGTGCCACATCCATTGCCGTTGAGATTCAACAAGGTGGCTGAGCTCGTGTGTTTTATTTATGTTTCATATGTTCGTTGCCCTTGGACATCACAAAGAATCCTGGCCCGGGGGGGGATGCGGTATGCTCAATCGAATAAGGAACACTTCTTGAGATCCCAACTTTGTTCGGGCTTTGGGAGCAACCTCGGTCGTATGGCACCTGATTGTTTAGTATGTATTTTAAATATAAGTTGAGTTGTGTGTTTATTAGTTGCCAACGTCGCTGGCGGACGCCTGGTATTTTTAGCTATTTTTGAGCGTTTTTCGTGTTTTCATGATCTACACTACCACGTTTATCCTGTTTTCATGATCTACACTACCACGTTTTTCCTCTTTTCATGATCTACGCTACCACGCGAACGGTATGACATGGGGGGTGGGGGGGGGAGCTGGGGATAATGACATATAATGACATATTTGTTTTCTAGCACCCATATGTGAATGTTCGTTGCATGCACGTTGACATTTACACTTCGCACATGAGTACATGCAACTTACGCGCGCATGCATGCCGAAATTGGCTCAGGGACGACATGCCGCAGCCGTCTTTCCTTTTTTTTCTGGTGTGTTGTTGCTTTGGTTCTTTTGTTGCGGTTGGGGGGGGTTTGAGGACATAGACGAGTTACCAACAGTTCTTCGACCTTGGTTTCGTGTTCACCCGGGGTATCTGGACGACTTCACTTTCGTTTGTTCCAAACTTCGTATTTCAGGCATTTTGTCTCGGGTCAGTGCTGCCCGACCAGCCGCGCTGTACGCAGACGGCGCCAGAGCATGGAGCAAAGCCGCTTTGTTTTTGCTTCCATTGTGTCCATCAAAAAAAGGAATATAGTGTACCCATCACAGACCAAGTTGTTCCACGTGGATTATCAAAAGAAGCGGGCACTCAAACTCTTGATGCTGACTGGAAGAGCTTGAAAAGCTGGCTGCCACAAAATGGCAATAAAAAAAGAAGGAAAAAGGTGTGAAAGCAAAGCATTCCACCAAGCTAGAAGTGCGTGTGTGGCAGTGGCTCTTCCGTCGCGAGAAATTCCGCGGATCATGCCAGGAAAATATCTCTGCACTAGCAAAAGTGTGGAAACGCAAGTAGTTTTGGAAAGTGGAAAAAGAGGGTCCGAGCATGCGTGTCGGAGCCTGACTGGGGAGAAGAATCGAGAAATCACGAAAACACCAGGCGCCAGGTGGCGTCGTTCCCTATTAGTTAGTATGACATATGGCAAGGTTCGCCGCACGGCATATCTTTAAGAACACACTATATCACATTTACTCAAAAAAAAGCTCTTTTGGTCTTTTCTGGCTGTACGAGTTGAAGAAGCAAAGAATACAAACGTGGATTGGGCGCTGGACAAGAACTCCCCTCCTACTTACTTGTGGCTCCGGGCGCCGTTGGATGGATTGAGGTGGATTGGGGATGGAGTCGATGGGTTCCTGATGGTGAATTGAGGTGGATGTGTTGGGCTTGGGCTTGGGTACCCTAGTGTACCCAGGGAAACGCTGCGAGACCGAAGAAATGGACCACATTTTTTTCGAGGTGGGGTTGGATTGTCAAAGCGTTTCATTTCAGATGGCTTGATCTTGTTCATTCATCGGTTGTTCTTCAATCTCAGATACGATAAACTCCCGACTAGGCCATGTGGCTGTCCCAAACTCTTCACTACTTCATCAATGGACTATAGGTGCACCACTTGGATGACATATTTTGGATTTGGATCGTGGATCGCCACCAGACATCCAGGGTCATGCTGGACCCGACAGCTTATCTGAGGCCCTTCGAGCCCGAGTGTGCGGTGCCTAGGTTCTCTTGTGATTGCATGCGACGTTTATACAACAATCTCGCTGCCGGTCAAGAACCGGAACCTCAAACCCTTATATAGCTTGACCTCTGTTCATGGAATGGTATAACTGTTCATGTCATGTTATAACTTATGACCTGGAATGTTATACCATAAGTTATTCCATGTGTATTGAGGTTCATACCCTTATGACCTGGTATAACTATTCATGTCATGTTCGGTGTTTGACCATTGGGTCCTCCGGTTTTTGACGCATATGCCAGGGCGGCAGATCGACGGAGTTTGTTTCAGGGCGCGACTTCTTTGGGCCCTGAATTCGATTCCCTTGGTCCAGATCCCTTAGGGCTCCGTCCGAGCCCATCTCCTCATCTTCGGTGGGCAAAGACCCCTAATCCACCGAACCTGAGGATGCGGGACCCGAGGCCCGGGGGATCATGACACGGTCCCCCCCGTTTCGGTGGGTCGTTCGATTTTCCAGCAGCTCCGGTTGGGCTCCGATGCATGATTGGAGAAGGGAAGAAATCAGTTGGTTGACAAGATCCTCTAAGTCTAGAACATGAGGGGAGTGCATCAGATGGTCTACAACACATCTATGGATTGGTCTTCGGCATGTGCCGCCGCGCCGGCGATGTTCCCTGGTGTTTTTTCACATGTGGCAAGGTTGGAAGTGGGCGGCCATACCGCCAGCCACATCGCATACTTCTTTGAAGAGGCGGGAGATGAGGCTATGTGTATCAATCATATCAATCATTCATCTGTAGTCAACCCAGCAGAACCCACTAAAAATGAATAGACAAAAGGTCACAATGAACTAAAGATCAATCAATTGACAACCCTCACTTTGATTTGATCTAGAATACCCAACATTTCTGCCCACGCAACATTTCTGCCCACGTCTTCCATTAAAAACAAAGAAAAAAACTCGCTTGCCAGCTAGCCACCCATGTCCATGCCCCGCTCTGCTTTCGCTCAGGTTCCCATGGCCTTGACCGGCGATTGCCTCTTCACGCTGGGCTGCAGCCGCGTCTTTACCGGTGACTTCGTGCGGATGCAGGTGACTGTCGGTCATTGGGGGAGGTCCGCAGATGTTTCCTGAAGCCATCCATGAAATGTCACGTTGAAGTGTTACACTCCCTGAAACAACAATGGAAGTGGAGTTCACCACCGGCTTGTAACAGTCTTCCAAGAGGCCATATTCCCTTCCATGTTTGTTGGAGAAAGGGCATGTACTAGGTGTGTCCCAGTAAGCCAGTATAGCCGTTGGTTCTTGACATGATCACTATTATTTGAACCAACCTGGGCCGTGGTAATGGGATCTATCTATATATAGATAACATTAGATAACTATTATATATACATGTTATATTATACACTGTCAATGTACAAAAGTCAGATTGGATGATTTTGGGTGAATTTTCATCAGCGCTGGGAAGATCTTGGAAGATCAGCTTCACTCTGTTTCGGGTTTCGTGAGTCGGCCGCCGGCGGTGCGGCCAGCGGTGCTGCGGTGCTTGGTGGGAGGAGTCGGTGGCCGCTTCACAGCGGAGGTTGGATCGATTTTCCCGTGAATCAGGCAGTCACCAGGGATTCGTCTCTAGAGTTTCTTTGGAGTCTGTTTGACGTTTAACATGGTCTAACTGCCTAACTATCACATTTGGATGCATTTGGTTTACCCTGGTATATCCTGGTCGTCGGTTTGGCTCATTCGATGGATGATGGCAAATCTTACTGTGGTCATGATGGGCATAGGTCATATTGTTGTCATAGACAGAAATACACATAAATAGCAACATATGTTTACAAGCTATATTGCAGATTGCTCATCCAAATTACCACACTGCATATTGGCACAACGTAGTGTATCTGTCTTTTTCAGCCATGGTTTGTATGCTTATTCTGGACACTTGAGGCTCGCGTGAGCCTCTGTCTGATGGAGATTACAGCTGTGTCTGGCCGAACAGTAGCTGAGGTGGATCAGGATCAGTTGCTTGACATGGTTGAACATGGAAAATCCGTCCTGCACTTAAAGCAGCTCCTTGCAGCCCAGGTTGGACACTCAAGATTTCAGCAAAGACTCTTTAGTGACGAAACTGGCGCATTGCACGATGACATGCCGTTGAAACCAATCTCATGTGTGCAGCTGGTGATACTGGACTTTTGTGCCCCAGAGGAGAACATGTGGGACGAGCTACTTCGCTGCTGTCGCGAGAATGACGTGATCGAACTTGAAAGGCTCTTTCAGAAACCATACGATCCCAATTGAAGAGGTGGTACTGCCAGCAAGGCACCCATTCATGTGGCAGCTGAAAAGGGGCATTTGGAGATTGTGCAGTTGTTGCTTGAGGCTGGAGCGGACAAGAATGCAACAATGAGAAAATCATATGACCTATGATGGGGCAACCGCCTTGATGTTTGCAGCTTTCTGTGGCCACTTGGAAGTGGTGCAGTTGCTGCTTCAGGCTGGAGCTGACAAAGAAGCAGCAACAATAACTGGAGTAACTGCATTGTCTCTTGCAGCTAGAGAAGGCCACCTGGCAGTGGTGCGTTTGCTGCTTGAGGCTGGAGTTGAATTGGATGCAGCAACTACTACAGATGGAGCAAGGGCAACGGCTCTGCATATGGCAGCAGAGTATGGCCACCTGGACGTTGTGCGAAGAAGGCCTATGCATCCGATGCGTCATTTCGCTCTCCAGCCCAGGCCTATGCCAATGATGGAAGTGGATGCAACAAAACCAGGTGGGGCCACCGCATTGTATATTGCAGCCCAGAACGGCCACGTGGAAGTTGTGCGGTTGCTGATTGAGACTGGAGCTGACAAGGATGCAGCAACTACAGATGGGGCAACCGCATTGTATACTGCAGCCCAGAACGGCCACGTGGAAGTTGTGCGGTTGCTGATTGAGACTGGAGCCGACAAAGATGCAGCAACTACAGATGGAGCAACCGGCAACCGCATTGTATATTGCAGCCCGGAACGGCCACGTGGAAGTTGTGCGGTTGCTGATTGAGACTGGAGCTGACAAGGATGCAGCAACTACAGTTTGGGCAACCGGCAACCGCATTGTATATTGCAGCCCGGAACGGCCACGTGGAAGTTGTGCGGTTGCTGAATGAGACTGGAGCTGAAAAGGATGCAGCAACTACAGATGGGGCAACCGCATTGTATATTGCAGCTCGCATTATACATATATTATATATATATACATATACAGTGGGGCGTGTGGGAGCACGCGTCCGGGGTTCGTTTGGACATCCGGTCTCAACCGGCCCAATTTGGGAAAATGCTTCACCATTTCCGCGAGTCTTGGCGGTCTTGGCAGTTTAACAGTTGGTTGCAAAATCGACAACGACGTGATTCTGCTGTTGGCCGTGAGCTGAATTTGCAGTACTCCGAGCATATAGGGTCATTGCTCAAAGGGCTTGTCAAACGGGTGTCCGGGGAGGCGGCGGCCGTTTTAGTGGGGGGCATGTCCACTCCTGCTACTGTCCATGCTGCTGTCCGTCCTCAGCATTGTCCGTATTGTCATGAGCCCGTGGTCCCTTCCATCGATCATGTGCTGTGGGTCTGCCGGCTTTTCGCTGCGCTGCGGGTGCTACCGCGTCCGGTTTCCGACTTTGCTGCACGTTTAGGGTGGGGCCCTGAGATGACTCTCGACTCTTGTTTGGACCTTCTTCAACAAATGGGAAACATCCGACACGAAGAGCACACGTTACGGCGTAGAACCCTGCAGGCAGCTTGTACTCTCCCTGAGGACTCTGCCTAGCGAGTGGCTTTGCGTGTCCTTAACCCGCGACAGGTTGGGACACTCGCAGCGCTACCCCCCCCTGTCGCAGCTCAGAATGGACATGAGGAAGTTGTGCAGTTGCTGCTTGCGGCTGGAGCTGACTTGGATGCAGCAACTACTACAGATGGAGCAAGGGCAACGGCTCTGCATATGGCAGCAGAGTATGGCCACCTGGACGTTGTGCTGCCAGCGAGCTGGAAGACTGGATGAAGACCAGACTGGATGAAGAGCAGAGGATCGGTCGGCGGTTGTCCAGCGACGGTCAAGCCGATGCATCCGATGCATCATCCATCGCTGTCCAGCCAGCCTAGGCCAATGATAGAAGTGGATCAAAGAACCGGTAGGAAACGGAAGGGTTTGCCGGTGGACATGTGCTGAAGGATCCTATATCAGGGTCACTTGATTCATTCATATTCACGATTATGGTGCAAACAACCCATATGACTCTTGATCCGATACGAAAAGATCATTCATGTTTTGGTTGGCTCCAAACTAGGGGTCACCCAGGTTCTAGGTCATTGTAATATACAACATCTTGATGCCATCTTGGAGATCACACAGCTCTCAAGCACCTCCGCCCTCGGGGTGCTAGTCAGGCCTCCTTGGGGAAGCTTCGTGCTTTGCCCGACGAGACCGTGGTGTCGGGGCGCTCAGAGGTGAAACCTTCCGAGTCGGATTGGATGTGGAGATCAGTCAGGACCCCCCTGGACCGCTGTTTCGCTCAGAAAACAGGCTGTAATGATGTATGTATATAGGTGGTGACCACAAAGTTCCAAGAAGCGGGTGGAAGCTACAAATTTTTGTTGTATGACTTAAGCTCCAGTTTTTGGAGCCGATGGGAGAGCCATCTTCAGATCGGCTCTTTCGATCCGTGCAGGAGCTCCCATTTAGTAGAGGACTTCCTCACACACTTGGCCAATAATACACGCACCTCATGGAGAAAATGCTCCCACTTCGTTGCTGTGGACGACGGCCGGGATGTTTTGGGGTGGATTGTTTGCCCTTCCGGCCCTGGGTGACGTGAGGACTTCGAGTATCCAAACGAAAAAAAAAGGGTCCTAGCGCTCCAACGGTCAAAGGAAATAACCAACATCGAAAGAACCTCCTGGCAGTGGGGGCATGAAACGAACCTCTGAATCAGAAAACGACCCTTTTTCGGTCGTTCGCTCCGCGCTTGCGCATGCCAACGCGCACTTCTCATGCTGGTCATCAGCAGCCGTTTGGAACTCCATGTGCAGTCCATCCTTTCAGATGTTCAGAGCTCCGGTGATGTGGCACATGCTTCGACGGAGGTTCTGCTCGCACGAGTACACCGCCGCGAATGCGGACTTCGCTGTGAAGGTGTGGGGGCGCAGGGCAGAACACCTGAAAGGAGACAAAGAGCCCTTTTTTTCTTGGTTGTGTTCTCAAGCCTCGGCTGTCCCAAGCGGTGTGTCGCAAGGTATATAATATATATATAGCATTATATAGCTGTTGAGCACATGGTTAAGCCACATGTGCTCCGGCCACACTGGAGCTTGTTGCAAGACGTTTGCCTTGGGGACTTCTTGAGGTTGGCTTCTGGTTGGAGTTGAGTCCACAAACATTTCACGGGCCTTCCCGTACGCGCTCAATACAAGTAGCGTGAGATCCGCTGGGAGAGTGTCTTTTTTTTGGCAGGATTTTGTTATGTGGTGAAGTGATCACTATGACAGTATTTACATGTTTTGTATGCATATGTTGTTTGGAAAACTTTGTTTGTGCCCCATTCGGACCGTCACTGTTTGCATTGAGTATGTTGTTTTGCTTTTTGTGCTGGCTGACCTAAAACTATAGATGTTAGATGTTCCCTTCGGCAGCCCGTGGTGCGTCGGTCTGGACATGATTTCGGATTCTGGAAAGTAATCAGGTAGGTGCTTGAAGTGATATGCACATGTCAAGCGACAGCATTGCAAGCCCCCAATCGAAAGCCCAAATCCATCAAAGGACGCTGAGACCACTGGTTTTTTGAAGCAAACAAACTAGCTTTAGTAAGAAAAATGTTCGGTTTGGGTAAGCAAATGTCCCAAGGATGGCCTTCATTCGACTGCCAGGACAGAAACCTTTCCTTAAAACAATGAAACACAAGTCACAAGACAGAGCACGCGAACTTGAATGCACACACGTAAGCAAACACAAACGGCCAAATGTTGTTTGACACTCTTCAAAGACACTCTTGGAGATTTAGATTCTGGGAAGACACTCTTACACTCTTGCAGGACATGCTTTTGCGACACTTTGCTTGACACTCTTGTAGGACACCCTTGTCAGACACTCTGGCTGGACACTTTCATGTGACACCTTTGGAGCAGGGTACTGTCTTCAATGTGAGCATTTCCTATGAGACGTCCTCCAAAAGTGTTAAGATCTGTTAAGTCTCTAAATCCAGTATTTTTCCTAAGAGACATCCTCCCAAATGATGCATTTTTTCAGCCTCCAAAACAACTGTTCCTTAGACTCGTATCCTGTGCTACGCTGTGCTACGTTGCAGGTGGAGCCCCAGAATGTAGCCTTACAAGCTAGACGAGAAGCGGCGGGGAAGCCCAAGGGAGCTTTAGCGTTGACAGTCAAACGGCTTGGAGCATTACCATGCATTAGCTGGACAATAGATATGGTATATATATATATATACTAATTGCGAATATGCCTAGGTGAACCTATCGAACACCACCCCTGCACCTATGGAACCCTGTCCAACCACCGATCCTTTTCCTTGGTCTCAAGTCACCTCTCCCACCCACCTCATGGACTGGTGCCACATGGTCGAGCATTGAACGGCCGGCGAACTGCACGTTTCACACTCATCTTACTTTCTAGCATTCTTTTTCGTCTCTCTGTTTTGTATTTTCTCGAAGCCATGCTAGCCTATTTCTTCTATCCGAGCGTTCCTTCAGTGCAGCCGTCTCATCATAGAGACTGTATCGCCCTTCTTCTAAACATTGGCGCAACAAAGTTCCTTCCATAGCTTTTGTTAAACTATCAGCAAGTTGAGCTTGAGAACTCACCCACCTAAGCTGGCAGTTTTCCTTGAGACGTTCTCTAATCAAAACACACTCTAAGCAAGTTCTATATTCCTCACAAGTAGGAGTAGAGGTCTTTGTCGCGACGTCAAAAACAGACTTGCAATCTGTCACTATGGAAGACTTTGGAGCGTTCTGCAGCATCAATTCGGGCTCCATGATGTTGCTGCTTGGGTCTTTCAACCATTCCCAAAAGAGTCGGAGCCACGAAAGTCTATCCAGCGATGCACTAAGTGATACTGCTTCTGCCGATAAAGTAGATCGAACTACTCGAGGGATCTTCTTTGAAGACCAGGCTACCGGGCACACAATCCCCACTTTATTGCATGCCAATCGTCCATCTGTTGAAAAGATGATTGTTCCCTGCCTGGACGACGTATCTTTGTTCGTGGCAAATGAAGCATCACTAAATGCACAGAAGGTGAGCTCTCTGACAGGAATTGGGACAATGTGCAAGCAAACGGCATGAGTCTTTGCTTCATGAAGAATCCTGTTCAAGGCCAACATTTCCCCAACAGTCGCACGAGTTACTCTAGACTGTATTTCCCCTATCTTGGCTGCCAAATCAGGACGGGTATTCACTGCAGCATATTGTAATGAGCCACACAGTTGTCTGACCTCCTGTCGCTCTCCTTCAGTCACTGAGGCAGAAGGTTCTGTGCGTCTGTGTTTTGGAATTTGGATCGGGGCAATTCTTTCCACATACTCTCGTTGATCTAGCTCTATCGATCCATCATCCCATTGAAAGTACCGCACACCACAAAACACAAAATTTCGTTTGTGAAATGCTCCAAAGCTGTACACTGTTTGGATCCTCTGAAGCACCTCATGAAAATAGGAGTCTCCTCCCCCCAAACCATCATCCACATGAATTCCCAACAAACCACGAACCTGAGGCTTTCCTTCGGGACCTTCTGTCACCAAACTAAAAACACAACTGTCAAATGGACAACAAACAAAACCATGATCCTCCAAGGTTTTCCTAAACGATTTGTACCACAAGTATGGTCCATCTATTCGTCCGTAGGCTCCACCTTGAAGTTGACATTGGTCCGTTGGGGACATCTTCAAAGCTTTTGTCAGTTCTTCTGGGGCTTGGATTCCAAGGTTTCTCCCATCTCCCTGACCCTTCAAAAATGCAGTCGCTACGTCAAAACTAATCAACTCCCACTTACGACTAGCAATTGTCTGAACTATCAACATCCTACCGTCTTTAGACAACGTTGGGGCGTCATTTGGGATGTGGGATATGCCAGGGTCTGTGAATCCAAGCACGACCAAGCGGGCCTTGGCTCTTCTTTCACCACCCGGATGCTCGGGTGGTTTCCACACCAAGATCCACCGGCAACGCATGACCTCTTCCGGTCGAAGAGTCCCCTGGGCAACACGTTTCACCGTGTTGTGATCGAGCCAGGCTTTTATTTCCTTATCCTTGGCAGCTTGAAATTTCTTTCTGTCTTCTGGTGACAAATCCTCCCATCGAAGTTCTACTTTTTCCTTCTTGGTGAGAGAAACATTCAAACTGTCCCAAACTCCAAAAACAGAGTCCTCTCGTCCACCAAGATTTTCCACTGGTCCGTCCCGAAAACAAATCTCATAGTTTAGATCATATGATTGGAAGGAAACATCGTCACCGAAACAGAACAATTCATCATCTGACTCAACCGGAACTGGAACCTCAACACCATCTAGTTCCATGTCTCTCACTGGTTCCGATGGTGTGTACTCACTACCTACTTCCTTCACACTCTCTCCATTTCGGGTCGATGGCGGTGAGACTTCCATTTCGGGTTGTTCACTGGCATCTTCAGACGGGTCCTCCATAGCTTCATCTCGCGAGGGCAATTCATCCAAATCCAAAAATTCTCGGGGGCCTTTTCCTTCTTTCAACTTCTCATCCATGACATCCCCTTGATCATTCCTAGGGAGTAGATGATACTCTCGCAGAGAGGCCGGACGGAGATGTTCGGGACTTGCTCTAATTAAACGGCCACAGTGGCTAAGCCAGACAACACGATCACCTTCACAGACAATGACCTGTGAGGGACCATACCATCGGCCTCTTTCTTTTCGACCTACCCCTTTTCTTCTCCAATACAGCACCCAATCACCTCTTTGGTACTGGGCTCTGCTGGGGCGAGTCCTGCGCAACAAAGCTCGGCGAAAGCTGTTATCGTTATCAGCAGCTATGAAACTCCGTCGAGCTTGTTCTCGGCGAACCAACGTCTTGAGAAACCACTGGCCTTCTGGATCATCGCTCACTGCCAAGCTGTGACTGCTGACAATCTTCATCCCCGGTCAACGATCCAGGAAGATGCCTTGACTTCCCCAAGAGTGCTTGTTCTGGTGTAAAGCCACCAACTCGACTGAGAGCATTCTTTGCAGCAAACGCTTGGCGCAGACAAACTCTAAACTCCTCTTCTGTCTCAATGGGCTGCTCTTTGTTCATTCTATCCAACATGTTTTTTATAATCTGGCCATGGCGTTCACATCTTCCGAGTTGCCAGTGACTTTCCCCTGCACTCAAAGACACTCGAATATTCTCCCGCTGAAGAAATTGGGTCCATTCTTCATTTACATATTCACCAGCGGGATCGAGGTACAACAATTTACATGGTCCTGCCCACTGTAGCCAAACATCTTCAAACACTCTGATTTGCTCTTTGGTTGTTCGGCCACTGGGTGCACCCACATGAAACAATGTCCCTTCATCAATGAAATGCATGAAATGGAAATGCTTCCCCCTACCATTCTTCCACCATGCTCCATCACCCCCAACCTCATCATTAAAATCCAATTCCCTATGGATACTACCTGGACGGGCTAACAGGGGGGCTCCTTGGTTTTCGGCACATGTGGGACATTGATAATCTAAGACACCTTTCAGGACCAGGTCGGTGGCTCCACGTTCCCGTAAAAACTTCTGAAACAGTTCTGGATTTGGGTGTCCCAAATTCTGATGTAACCGTTGGATGTCTGCCCTTTCCTGGGGACTGAGCGCCATGAAAGCTGGTCCTGACACTGCAATGGGCCGTGGTGCCCATGCCTCAGTGGAAGGCATGACCAGGGTCTTCTCCAGGAGACCCTCCATCCTGTTCTCGGATGGTGCCTCCATTTCTTGAGCTATGGAAAGCGAGCCCTGATCAGCATGTGATCCAAAAATTGTCAGCGAAATTCGAGCGGGACCACACTTACCAATCCGTCTCACTCGAGACTGTTTTTGCCATTCCTCAGGATCCCCAACATCAATGACTTCTCCTGAAACCCGATGGACATACACTGTCTTTCTCAAAACAAGATCCCTAACTTCCTCTTGTCGATTTGGGATCCTGAATCTGTCTGTCCCACGGCAGGTGACCATCTGATGGACTCTCATTTCAGGGACCCTTTTCTGAACCTGTTCAACCAAGGGACCATCCCTAATCACATGTGGACCAACTCTTGGGGTAACCTTGGCCACTTCTTGCATGATCTGATCCCATGAGAGCGTCTCACCAGGCACCATGAAAGCTTCGGGACATGGCTGTTTATTTACGCATCGTCGACGTTTCAGCCGGAGAGAATCCATCACATCTTGTCGGGATTCCCGAGATCTTTTCTGCCCTTCGGAAGCTTCAAAACCAGCCAAAAGTTCCATGACTATCAAGGGATCCTCCTGGGTTTCAACCGATTGCAACATGGCTTTGGCTACGGTTTTTGCAAAGATTCGTGTGTAGTGTGCGGCATATGCTGAAACTTGTTGTCGAACTCCTTTGTATGTAAAACTTCCTTCAATACGTCGATGTTCATGATCATGTAGACACCATCTGCGATGTAGTCGGGAATGGACATGTCTGGATGTTGTATGTACGACAGTTCTCTTCCGGAGGAAACGATCGTCCTGCGGCAAACGCAATCCCCCCACCTGACATTGGTCGAATGACGCCGGCATCGTTCCTGTAGCAATTTCATACATTTCATGTTGTTTCAACATATCCGATCCCATTGGCTGTTCTAAATGAAAGTGTCTCCCCAAACACACTTGATGCCAATACAGTTCATCACACAAACACAGATGTTGTCTCTCGTTTTCTCTCATCATCAGAATGTGTTTCTCGGTGTCACTATTTCGTGTCATGTTCAAACGTGAAAACCCTCCCCAATGCTTACAGTCCGGCGATGCCCAGATGTGGGCGGGTTCATACATCTCAATCCAGGTCCACAATTTGCTGATGCCTTCGGGTGAACTTAAATCCCCATCTTCAATCGAAAATCTCAAGGCCTTCCCCCCTAGACCATTAATCTGTTGGGTCAATTGGGATGATTTACTACAATACACCTCAAGGCAATCAACAGGCCGATCGTGTCCTGAATCTGAACGACCAGAGTGAGGTTTGGAATGGTCAGCAACAATCTTCTTTGGTAGCTTGGACAACCCGTCCTCAATGGTATTGATTAGTTCCTGACACCTTTTATGCACCTCCTCTGTGTTCCACCTCGGCGATCTCGAATTGATAATTCCCCGTCGTTCCCTTCTCAGGGAGTCTGGGGATCGTTGGACTGAGGAGCCTTCTGCTTGGCCAGTTCCCTCTGCAGGATGGCAATCTGGGTCTGAAGCTCGTTCACCTTCTCGCTGTTCTCTTCGATCACCATCTGCGTCGGGACCATGGTTTGCGAATAGCCCCTTTTGTGCGTCTCTGACGTCGGCTTCTCTGGACTGCTCAAAGTGAGTGGATCGATTGGAATCCACTCTGCCTCGGAGCCGGTTGCTGGTCCTGGAAGAACTTTGTTCGGGAGTCTTCCCGAGCTCATTGCAGAATGGCGATGAGCCTGAGTCTTCGGCATGATGGGCCCTTGCAACATCTCCCGAGACAGTTTCTTCTTGGTGGCCTTGACATAGTTCTGGAAGCTGAGCATGTCGACTGACGTCAATCGGGTGTTGTGCAGGATGAACTGAGCATACCCGCTGTCTTTCTCGTATGTCTCGGCAAAGGTCTTCCCCTTGTGCTTTCCAGACTGAAATGTCTCTAGTCCCCACTGGTGAAGGTTTCGAATTCCTGCCGGTACCTTGTACTGGTAGGTGTGTGGCTGATGGGTCTCCTGGACTAGAGCTGCGTCCTCTTCTCCCGACAACTCGTCGAGTTGAAACTGGGGAACGGTCTTCCGCAGTGCCATGTCTGGGAAACACACGTGAGGTCGAGCCGATGGTCGTCTCTTGATCTGTCACTCTGGCTGCCGAACGTTCACGAGGATCACGCAATGCTGGCTGCTGCAAGTCTGTGGTTTGTAGCAAACTTGTTTGTCTTTCATCGTGGTTTGGTTCCTTCACAAATTCAACATGCACGTCCTGAGGTGGTGGTTGTGGGCTGTCTTGTTTGTTGGTTTCAACTTCTGTGTGCAAACAATTTTCTCCCGTACCATCATGAAACCGAATGTTCAAAAGATCACGAATATTCACACAGTTCAGTTTCCTCCTTACCTGTCTCAGCCTCAACATGTCATCACTTCCATGGAAACTCAAACAACCCAAATGAACATCCAAAATTCCTTTCATGCCTTCAATCACTGCGTTTGATATCAGGAATGGAGTGCTTCCGGGCACGATCTCAACGCGGAGCCAGCCTTTTCCATGTCGTTTCAGGAACAGTGCCTCTTCACTATGGAGCAAACCACTGTTACCGAAGCGGAAAACGCACCGTGATGGACCACGCTGAATCTTAATGCCCTTCAAAGCCCTTTCCAACTGGGGGACCCTTTCACTACCTATGATCGTTCGGCTTGCTCCGGTATCTAAAATCGCCTCCTCACTTGATTCTTCATGGCCGTCATTGGCCGAAACGTGAGAGGTCTGATGAACGGAGAAAGACTGGCTCAAGCTTGTCGCTTCATGCGTCCCGGCTGGTCGTCGCACTGAACATTCATCGTGATGCCTTGCCGAATGATTGAGTGCTCTGGTCAACTTCTCTCGAAACCCCAACTCTTCCACACTAACAAAACACTCCTCACAAAAAACTTCACCATCTATTACCGGTTTCACCAAGTCATCACTCCCCCTATCTTGAGCATAACAAGGAAAATCTTGCACAAAATGGTTCTCAATCGGTTCCTGGATCTCGAACGGCAGGTCTTCTGGGAGCTCAGGTGGATTCTGCTCGGACATCTCCTCAGCCATGGTGGCCATGTCAACTTGTCGGTCTTGACGGTCTTGGCGCTGTGGACATTCCCTCTTCCAATGGCCTGGCTTGTTGCAGATTCGACAAGTCGAGTTTGCGATTCGCTCAGCCAGTGTCCGTCGTGGAGGGTAGCCACCACTACCTTTTCCTCCCTTCTTTCCACCACCATTGAAGCCCTTTCCTTTGCCGGGAGCCCGTGAAGGCCAAAATCCTCGATGCCTGGCACGTTCTCGAAGCCGTGCACGTGCATCCTGGTAGCTCATGAAGCAGCTGGAAAGGTCCCCTGACTCTTGTACTGCTTCAATGATCTGGTCTTCGAACTCCTGGATGAAGATGGCATCCTCATCGCCCTGCTCCCACATCACCTGGAAGGCCTGTTCCTCATCCACCACTTCATCAATGGTGGTGAAAACAGGTTCTGACTCATTCACGGTGTGCACATCATAGGTTTTGTATTTCTTCCCACCTCCACCCTGAAGGTCTTGGAAGAACTTGGATCCCAGAAGTCTCATGGAGTTCCGGGTGGCCTCATAGGTCAACTCCCCTTTGTTATCCACGATGATCTTCTTCTTCTCATCACCGGTGAGCTGGGAGTGTCTGATCATCACATAGGCCCTTATCTCTTCCAGGGTGACGCCCTTGTCCTTTTGGAGGATTTCCTCAAAGCAGGCCTCATGGCGTGCTATGTAACTGTCGTTGCTTTCATCTGGCTTCTGGGTAGTCAGGAACAAGGCTCGTTCGAACTTCACGTAGCGGTCCTCATTCTGGAACCGTCCCCACTGCATCCCCAATGCCTTGAGGATCTCTTCACAACCATCCTTGGATTTGAGTCGGCTTGGATCGATCTTGGACACCTTCTTGAATGACACTGAATCACACTGTAAAGCAGCCCTCGGGGCCAAGTGTGAAATGTACTCCTCTGGCCAGATCGAGTGGAGGAACATCAGCTTCTGGGCATAGTCCTCCAAGTCCGACTCTCCCGCAGTAAAACTGGGGATTTGACTCCAAGGCAGTTGACTGGTAGCAAAGGAAGATTTCCCTTCTCCCACGCCACCATCGGCCGCTGCACTGGAGGCTCCACCTTTGCCCCCACCCATGGCTTGCAAATCACGCCCCGTGATGCAAAGTAAAAAAACCTGCCCCCTATGTTTTGGGGGCTCCGCTACCAATGCGAATATGCCTAGGTGAACCTATCGAACACCACCCCTGCACCTATGGAACCCTGTCCAACCACCGATCCTTTTCCTTGGTCTCAAGTCACCTCTCCCACCCACCTCATGGACTGGTGCCACATGGTCGAGCATTGAACGGCCGGCGAACTGCACGTTTCACAACTAATATATACATATATAAATATCATACAACGGTTTTTAGTGTGCATAAAGAAATGGAACACCTTGTTGATTTAGTAGGGCGAATGAAACCATCCTGGAACCTCTTGGTTCGGCTGCGTGGTCGGTCAATCCCCATGTACAGCCCACAGCATGCATATACAGCAGATGTGAAACATCCTGTTTGTGGATCTCCGGGTTGGAGCATCTTCGGATTGAGTGTTGGATCATTTGGATGGTCCAACAGTTATTCTGCAAACTATTTTGCATACCTGCATGGCAGGTTTCTCCAACCTGGAGATCCTATCAGCAACACCCAATATCCAGTGGTTTCCACTTGTTTTCACATGTTACCGGACATGATTCCAACGAACCCGAGCGACACCGGAGTGCCGGCTTGTCCTGCTTCGAAGAGGTGTCAAGACTGACCGGCCGAACTCTTTCGACCGGAACCAACAGGTCCTTGGAGTCCTAGTGTTGATCGACACAAATCCTTCCGTTGGAAAAAAATACTCAGTATATTACTCGTATATTTCCATAAATAGGATTCCATATATACCCATGATATTCAGTGGTTGTGATTTGTTCTTGAGTCTAGCCCACTAATTACCAGCAACAGTCGGCAAAAAAAAGATTATCATCAAGTTTGAGAAAGGCCTGCAACTGAACCATCATCATCCACTGCGCCCTGGGTGTCTGGGATAGACCCAAATTTATTCTATCTCATTCTCATTCTATGCCGGGACCCCCGTCCTGGTGTCCGTCGTTTCCGGGAACAGAAGACGACCTTGGCCTTGACCTTCTTTTTTCTAATTGCCATGACCGTGACCTTCCGTGGCTTTACTATTTTCATCGTGGTTTCGGCTGCTTCCGTCCTCGGGGGGGGGCTCGTGGCTGCCGTAGTCGTCCGCTCCACCGCCAGGTGCAGCGCCTCCGGTCCGCGCGGCAGGCCACGGTGCCCACGCTCTTGGGCTACGAGAAGGCGCACCGCGGTGGCCCGGATCCGACCGTGGCAGCGGCACGGAAGACCGGTGGCAGGGTGGACCGAAGTGGGGGAGATGGATCGGGAAGTCGTGCGTCGTGCTGGTTCCAGGTGATTTGGACAGACTTTCCAGACTGACCAGACAGACTCCACAGACTTGGAAGGGGATGCGAAAACGGGGTGGGCATGATTTGCAAGGTCTGCCTCTACAGCCTCTACAGCAGAAGTCCTGGCGAACCAATGCCAAAGATCACCATTTGGGAATTGAGCCAAGAGTCTTGAGGGGCGTATATTGGGGGGTGTGGCACAGAAAGTGATACCCTGAAACTGCCGGTGTTGATCCACTTTTCCATTACAAGAAGCTTTGGGATGGCACCCTAGTTTTTGAGCCACAGTCTAAAATGACTTTACTTCGAGTGATCCCCACCATGACATTTCAATCATTTGCCTTGATGCCATAGTGATGAGCATGTTGCCATGGTCGTGAGTATTGTAGTTCTCGATTTTGCTTGTGGGTCCTCGGGTTATGTGCTGTGGTTGTGTGTTGTGGTTGTGGTTGTGTGCTGTGTTGTGTTTGTGGTTGTGTCTTTGTGATTGTGTGTTTGTGGATGTGTTTGTGGTTGTGTGTTTGTGGTTGTGGTTGTGGTTGTGTTTGT